TGTGTGAATATATTTCTAACAATTATATAAAGTCCACTTGATTAAAAAAGCATAAACATATTATCGGTCTTTCAATTCTTAAAATAATTTTTTTAAAAGGAAAACAACATAAAAAAATTTATTTTATATCTTTTTTGCAAAAGAAACCATTTCCTTTCTTATTTTTATTATATTTCTCGACTAATATTTTATATCCTTATGAAAATATATTAGTTACCTCATTAAAAGAAACATTTCAAAAAGATTAATATTTTCTTATTATATTACTTTTAATATTAAAGTTAATATCTTATTTATTATTATTTAATCATATTTTTGAATATATATTATAAAATTATATAAATTTTTCAAAGAAAAAATAAACAAAAAATGTTCCAAAAAGAACGTTCATATTTGCATTATATTCCATAAAAATAAATGGCATATCCATCATATGTCTAATCTGTTTAAATATATCGTGGCATGTAAAGTTCAGTAGATTAATTATTTTAATAATTATAAGTACGTTACAAATGTTGCAAATATCCAATATCATGATTTGATGAGACGTAGCCATTCAATTATCAAACAAAATATAGTTCAAACTTGAAATATTGTGTGCAATTACCATTAATATTCGAATTGATTTTTACATCGTTTCTATTAATTAATTTTGTATTTGGTTTAAGAATCGTTGAGTTTTTTTTCGAGTTGACGGAAATTTTATATGTATATTGCTATTGTAGTCGATTTATTATTTTTTTAATATACGTATGATATTATATACATAATCGAATATAAGATTGATTAAATATTATTATAGAAAATAATAATGTATAAAAACTTTTAAGTAAATGTATAATGTGTGTGAATAGGTATAAAAATTTATTACATAAGGTATGAACATTTATTACATAATACGTGATTTTTTTAGAACATTTTCTTACATGCTTGTTAAAAATTTAATATTTCCAATCTATACATTATTTAATCATTTTTTCCAACTAATTCTCCTAAGTAAGTATATTCTTTGTAATTTTATATATTCGATTAAAGATTTGTAAATTGTTATCAATAAATAAATTAGTAATTAATAATTATCTTATTATTAATAATAAAAATGATAATAATACTTTTGATACATATATAGACATATACATATATTTTGTGTGTGTGTGTGTGTGTATATATATATATATATATATATATATATATACACACAAAATATATGTATATGTCTATATATGTATCAAAAGTATTATTATCATTTTTATTATTAATAATAAGATAATATATATATGTGTGTATATATATATATATATATATATATATATATATGATCATGTATAAAATATATTATACAATGAATAAATATGCAATAAATTCTTACAAATCCTTGCTATTACATTGTTGTATTGTTATTTGATATCAATTAAAATACGATATATCATTTATATTATTCATTATTTAATAATTCTTCACACACACAAAATCACATATAATATAGAATAAATAAAAAGCAAGAATGGTAAAAAAATTGATTTTTCTTAATTAATTTCTATGTATCTTGCATTATCAATTTAATTTAATGTTTTTTGTTTGATGTTTTTGCTAACTCAGACTAAATGCAAAATTCAGCAGATCGATTATTTCAATATGCGTAAGTGCAGCAATTATGATTATAGAGACTTGTTATTGTCATCGCCGACATAGAAAGTATAGTTTCCAATCTACCATGGCAAAGAGCATTCGATCCCTTTTAACGCCACTCTTGATAATAAGTTATGTGTGCGGTTTAAGAATTATGGAGTTCCCTATAGGGCATCCAAGACTTTGGTTCAGTCTTTTCTATATTTTTCTATTGTGGTCGACTTATTGTTTCTTCGTTATTGATACAGGGATACCTTACATACCAAATGTCGAATACAGAATTTACGTTTCGCTGAACATTTTCATAGCTCTGCTGTCTCTGCTTCTTGGAATGTATCATGATAAGGTAAGAAAATATTAACATATTTAAATATCAATAATATATGATCTCGATTGAATTTGAATAGAATTTATATATTAAATAATTATAAAATATTTCTAAAATTTATAATATTATATGTTAATAAATGATAATTAATAAAAAGATTTATAACGAAAAGAATTATTTTGCATATTGATGTAGCATAATATATAAACTAACATATGTATTTCTCATAATAATATTCATTCAAATTTATTTTTCCATTAACTTATAATATATTATATAATTTAATTCCAAATTAAATAATTATACATATTATATTAATTATACATATATTAACAATTACAAATTTAATATTAATTCAATTATCATTTAAAAGAAATATGTATATATTTTGTCACAATTCTTTAATCTAGTTAAATAAAAGCGTATATTTTCACATAGTCACTACTTATTTATATATTCTCTGTTTTAAGAAATTTAGAAACTGTCTGAAGAAGCTTGCTATTGTGGACAACACATTAGAAAAACTCGAAATAACGATGGATTATCAGAAATTAAGTAAAAAAATAATATGGATTGTTTTGGGATGGTTTGCAATAGTTTTATTATTAAGTTATAGCGATTATCTACGATGGCAAGATACAGCATACAATCCTCTAAAATCCATCTATATAACATTCATACTAAACTATTGTTCTCATATCAATATCATTAACGATTTGATTTTTGCGAGTATTCTTGGGTTGGTTTTTTATACATATAAAAACTATCACATAGAAATTAATTTAATAATCCGCATAAGTTTGCAAAATTATATTTGTGCAAATTAAAAAATTCAAGTCTTCTTTAAAAAATCTTAAAATTACTCGATTATAATATGTTTGCATATATTTTAAAATAATTTTCATTATTCACTAATTTTTTCTCTGTATTTAGATACATAGGATCGAAGTTCGATCAAATTAACAAGCATCTATACGAATTGACAACAGAAAATGTACGTGGAATAAAGCGAGCTTGGGAAAGTTCCACATTGCATTTGCAACAGCGCAATTTTTCGAATGTGCCAAGCAACAAATATATAATATGGATTGTAATGTGAATGTCTATTTAAATTTAACTATTATTATATTATCACGGAATAAGATTATACAGTAAGATTTAACATCGCGTTTACATACAGACATCTTCATCTGGAATTGCATAAAATATCTCGCGAAGTAAACTCAATATTCGAAATAGAAATGACTTTCAAGATGGTATGTTATTTCGGTTTAATAGCGGAATTTTTCCGTGAACTTTTCACCACGCTCGTCAGAAATTACGTCACTAGTAAAAGAATCTTGTTCATTACCATAATCATATTTTGGCTGGCTTGGTACATCTCCAGATTAATTCTGATCAATTATATATGCGAAAGAGTTAGCGCCAAGGTATTGATTCTATATTCAAATTCAAAATATATATTTGAATTTTTTTTCAAACAATCTTATATTAATTTTTTTTAAACAAGTACCTTCAAATGCTGCTTAAATACTTTAACTGATGTTAAATTTCATAATATTAAAAATAATATCAACTCTCTCTCTTCCAATTTTAGGCAAACGCAACAGGCGGCATGATAAATAAAACATCGTATTTCACTTGTAATGTAGAAATACGTGAAAATGTAAGCTTCAAAATAAATTTGAAACAGATTTTCGCAAAAATTTTTATTTAACAATAAGTTTTTATGCGAACAGAAAATTAATACACATAATTTATTGTTTTAATACAGATTTTACAATTTATATTGCAAATAATGCAAGCGCCACTCAAGTTTTATGGGCTTAGACTTTTTCAATTTGGCTATAAATTCCTTTATGGGGTGCGTAATTAATATAAAATAAACAATTATGTATTACTAAATTATTTATAAATATCTGTATCATATTGATAAAAATTGATTTTTATTTCTTTCAGTACTTTGAAACTATTCTGACTTTTGTGATTATATTAATACAAGCAAACAGATTTAAAAAAATATTAAAAGATTGTGGATAATGTATAAAAAAATTTATCGATAAAGAGCATTGGTTTACTAATCAGTATACAATATGCTCTAAACAAATTTTCAGCGATTCTATATTTCATATTTTTGCTAAGAATTAATATTTATCTTCTCTTTTTTATAAAAATTGTTACAAAATATGAGATAAATACTTTTTAATTTTATCTTTCCTCTGTTCTTTCTCGTAATAATTATTTTATTTTATAAAAGCAATTTTATATGAATTTTATTATATAAAGGAATATACAAACTCTATTATTGAAAAATAAGAATGACATATAAGATAATAAAGAAAATAATTTGATTTCTCGTTACATTAATTATAACCTGATATGATTTAAATGCTAATTAAATGTTGAAATCATCAAAAGAAGTGAGCGGACATATAATTAATAAATTAATTATTGCTCACAATTAGATGAGCTTATTAACACCTTTATTTTATATGCACATAAATTTATGGTATAATAAATATTATTATGCTTATTTATCAAAAGGATATTGTTGAGTACATCAATAAATTCGCTATTAAATTCAGTCTGAATATATATATATATATTCAATAATAAATAAATATATATATATATATATATATATATACATATATATATATTTATTTATTTATTTATTGAGTACATCAATAAACTCGCCATTAAATTCAGTCTAAATATATATATATATATATATATATATATATATATTTAGACTGAATTTAGTAGCGAGTTTATTGATGTACTCAATAAATAAATAAATAAATAAATATATATATATGTATATATTTTTAATAATAATAAATTATTACCTGAATATTGCATCAATTTATGTAATGTCATACATGAATAAAAATTTTTGCAAAGTTAGTTACAAATTTGCTAGTACAAAAGATGTTAGATATAAAAATAACATAGAAATATGATGATAATATTAATCTTGTAAAAAACATTTTTCGAAATATATATAACGAGAAATTAAACTACAAACAAATATTATGCTATCATGAATAATGAAAAGCGTAAGAAGTCTCGCCATGTATATATTTCATCAAAGATCGATAACAAGCCTCCATATTTCAATGCATCTGCCCATTTGAAAGCATTTGACTTACAAGATGCCATACGAGTTAAAGAAATAGATAAAGAGAATATGAATCTGTTAAAAAAAATAAACATAATTCATCGATTAGGGGTTAGTATCGCCATTTATTGTACCAAAATTTGCACAATTTTATATACATTACATACTATGTAATATATAATACATTGAATATTTTCAAAAACTCGTTCCATTTTGTATATATAATTTTCTCTTTAGAGAGAGAGAAAGAATTTATATTAATCTCTCTAAATATATATAAATAAAATATGGCAATATATGTATACACATAAACTTTTATTCTTCATTTTTAGGGGTACGTGGATTGTTGGGCACCGGATATCAAGTATAATTCAAAACTTGAGAATCAAGACCGTAAAAATAATATAATCATGCGGGAAAATAGAATTATGCTGAAGAAAATTCATCAAGTGGAAAGTCAATATCCTACTCGCGCATTTTTGGAAGACTGGAAAAAAATACATGAGGCAGTAGGACACCATGCAAGGTTCTTTAATTAATATCCCAATAAAATAAAAGATTTTACTTTAATCTTATAATTTTGCTTATTAAATTTTCATCTTGCATTCAAATTTTCTTATCGTGCGTTATATTTGCACAAATATGTTGTAAAATTTCTAATATAACACAGATATGTTTCAGTAATTGAAAGATTGTCCGTTGCGTCAGATGAAAGGCAATTAGCCGAAAAAAGTCAAACGAGATGTTTCTTTGATGTTGGACTTAAAGAAGAAAATCAAAAATTAGGGCGTATAATATTTGAACTCTACGACAGTATTGTACCACGTACATGTGAGAACTTCGCAGCTTTCTGCCGTGGAATAAATGGCTTATCATATAAGTATGTAAATTATGAACATATTATGTAAATTTAATACTAAAATTTTTTGCGACGTATAAAGCACGTCTAAAATTTATTCAAAAATCCGTCAATAAAATTGAGATCAAATATTAGGGAAACGATTTTAAAATTTGTAATTCATAGGCACACTCCATTTCATCGTATCGTTTCTGGCTACTGGTGCCAAGGAGGAGATGTCACAAAATTTGACGGTACCGGCGGTATCTCTATATACGGAAACTCGTTCGATAAGGAAAAATCTAATTTACGCCACACAGAACCTGGCATACTGTCCATGTGCGATAACGATGATGGCAGGAACGATTCCAAGTTTAATCTTACGTTTAAGTGCTTAAAGACTGTGAATGAAGATAGGGCCGTTTTTGGCCGGGTAATAGGCGGAATGAGAAACATTTACAAGGTAATACTGAATATTTTTTGTTGATAAAAAAGAGCTTGGCTCGAATACACAATTTAAGGTGCAATAATGCAACCTCGTCACAGCATTGTTAATTTAAGTATAGCTCGAATTGCTGACGAAATGTAAAGAAATTATTTTGTTTAACGTACAACTGTATAACACAATTAAAGCTGTTATATTTCAAAAATACATAGTATCTCTTGCACTGAAAAATTATTTAATTATAATTAAAGGTTCTTCTTTTCTCTCACATATAATATTTTATTTTTTTATGCTTTATTTATCAATTTTATTAAAATTTATTTAATTTATTATTTTATCTTTAATGGACATTATATTAAAATATATATATTAAATTCGATTAATTAACATCAACGGAATACATGTCGCCATCTAACGGGTAACTTGTAAATTCTGACACAAATATTATTTGCAGTTTAGATGTTGCGTTATAAAGTTAGTACCAAATTAAATTACATTTATTCTATTTATGCAATTATATAAATAATTTATTATTTTATAATCATAAATCTTAAGAACGATTTAAAAGAAGTTCTATATATATATATATATATATAATAGTTTTTTAATATTTCATTATCTTTTATTTGTATATATAATACAAATATATAATTTGTCTTTTTACATATAAAGATTATTTTAGAAATATTTTAAATAGAATATGTTCTCTCTTCTTTTTTCCCGCATGATAAAAAACTTCGCGTTGTACGATATCGTTTTACAAAAGATTTTATTACCGCCTCCGCGTGTTTAAATTCAACCGCATAGCAGTGGTTTATATCTACCATGATTAAATAGATCGAGGAATTCGGTACGAAGACCGGAAAACCAATAAAATCGGTAATTGTGTTAAACTGTGGAGTCCTGTCGACGAAACGCCCGCATGAAAAGCTGTCCAAATCACAAATATAACTAGGCTACATTATCCTCATGGATGAGAAAATATAATTTATTACATAATCTGATTGTATGTATCAATAATTAAAATTTGAGCATTATTTAATCAAAAATCTCCATGATCGCGTAAATTGAAAATAATATAAGAATTGTATATTACTTCTAAAAGCAACAAATAAAACGTGTTTTTTCATTGCAAACTCTATTCTTCTAAATATTATAATTATAATATTTCTTATTATTTTATTATAATTATAATATTTTTTGGTCTTTTAAATATAATTTTTCACTCACCGACACTGATGCGCAACAGCGGAGTTGTTAATATTGAAGCTACGTTGTCTGTAACATACAAATATAAAATTCATATAATTAGCAGCTCTTAAAATAATTAATCTTTCATTATATTTAATTATTATTGTATGCACCGAATTTTATATCCGATATGTGCAATAATAAACAAATAAATAAATATGCAATAATTTTTTAAATTCTAAAAAACCTATTTTTTTAAATAGAAAGTTTTATAAAATTATTTACATACAACCTTTTTTCTTTGAATCTTTCTTGTTTCATCATTCAAATAAATGACTCAAATTAGTATGTGTACGCAATATAATAATTAATATAAATCAATAATATAAACAGTACTCACCATCAGGTTGTTCCGCCGATACAAGATGCCTTTCCTGGGCCTGCGCCTCCTCTCAGATCATCAAGATTATTAGGTTGATCTACAACAAATAAAAGATTTAAATTGTAATAACATCCAAATAATTAATATTTCAAAAGTTATTATTACATGTATTGAGTTTTACATTCGATACATATAATAATAGCAGATTAATAAAATAATTCTATAAACTTTAGAAAAAAATATTACTAATAATTCTCTAATACTTTATAAAAGCTTATATAGCTAATTTTATAAGATTATAGATTTTATATAAAAACCTTTTTCTTCAAAATTCTCTTTTATTTAAATTATATAAATAAAAAATCAAATTACGCGATTAATTGTTTAATTTAAATTATAATAAATATATTTAATATTTAATATAAAATTACAAATAAATAAATACAATAAATAAATAAATTACTTACCAGAAGATTGCTCTGCTCGAAGATTGCCGGAGCTCGATGCCTCTCCTAGGCCTCCTCCTTCTCTCAGTCTTGGACGCACGATACTTTACGGCTCTCCCGCACTCACGAGCGATATTTTTATCGCTATTTTCGTACTTTTACGCGCGATACTGAACGGCATTCCCGCACTATTTCGCGATTAAAAATTTTATATTTGATCGCGCGATATACTTAATATGTATATACTTTTAACGGCACTCCCGGTTTCGGTACGAGCGAAAATCCCATTTCACTTACAAGACTCCACTTCGAGTCAACAGGTCAGGAATGCAACGATACAATGAGCATGGATTAAGTCAAAACCGGAAAGAAGACGAAACGATTGACGGAAGTAGAGGAAAATGAAGTTCACCAACTCTTTTTCGCGTAATTATCCTATCTCGTATCGAACCTGGACCCGCTAAGCACGATTTCAGGTGCTCCGCCAGGACATATTATGCCTCCCGCGGTTGCTATATGCTACACCAGGTTAGTAGACGACAAAAGAAGAGGATACTCACATTTTTTAAATGTTAGCAATCAGCAATTTAGAAAATGGGGAGACAACCTCTTTTACCGAGCGAAAATCATGCCTAGAGGAATCCACTCGACTCTTCGATAGGGTTAACACACGTAATGCGTGTGGCTGTAGACGAGTAAAGAGAAGGAACCTATTGACGACCATTCCAAACAATCGATCGAGTTCTAACCAATTCGGACCGAATCACTTGACGGAGCACGAAGCACGAGTGTACGTTGCATAGCACAACGTGTGCAAACTCAAAATCCTAGTTAATTGGCATCGGAAGTAGAGACTCGTGACAATAATGAAATTGGGATTTTTATACGAAAAGTCCAACGCGGAAGCGCAAAAACGCGATGACGCGAAAAAGCTAAACGCGAAAACGCGGTAACGAGACGCCGCCGTCCGCGACACGTTGACGGCACCGACGACGCAATGCGTGCCACATATGAGCCATTGTGCTACTCGTGGCAATACTGTGCTGGGTACTTAGTTTCCCCTTCAGGCTCCTTGAGATTTATCCTAAATAAAAAAATTTAAAATAAATCTCAAGACACCATCCAAGTACTGAGCCACCCCACCGCGTCAAGGTGTACCCATGGGGGGTTGCATTATATAAATTTATAATATAATATAATTTATATATATGAAAGAGAAAGAGAGAAATTTATATTATACATAATTTTATATAATTTGTGTGTGGGATTGATTATATCATTCAATAATGTAATCTAACTCATTATAGCGCTTCCGATTTTTACGTCATGTAGAAAATAAGTATATAAGCATTTAAAATAAAAATTTTTTTTCTCATTGTAGTATCTACCTATATGAATATTATTGAATAAAAAATTAGGTACATGACGATCATTTTCTTTAACAAAGGAAAATTGGAATCTAATTCACAGAGATGTTAGAATAATAAATAACAATGAGAAAATTATGTAATAATTATATTGTATATAATATTATATTGTATATATTATATATAATAATTATTATCACAATTGCTGCTTCTTAGATTTGCAACAGCGTTCATATTAATACATAACTGCTTAATTTTTTTTCTTATTATTTATTTCTGTTCCTATATGCGAAATGTCGACCGAAAGATAAAAGCAATCTGGATAAGAAAGCTGTCTAATTGTATATATAAAACATACTATCTTAAACTGAATCAATGAAAATTTTTATTGATTAAAAATGTAACACAACGTATCTCTCATTTAAGTAAGCATTGTGTCTTTTTATAACATTTTTTGCGAATTATTTATATAGAACAATAAATGTGTTTTTAAAATCTGCAAATAATTTTTTAGAATGCAAATCGAAATTATCAATGAATTAATGTACGTTAATTACAACAATATTTTTATAGCTAAAAAACAAAAGAATATGTAATATGTATATCTAAACATTTATACAGATGACATAGATTGCTTTAATTGTAATATATAAAGTGCACCTTTAATAAATCGAGTTTAAAGAGAAAATGCTCAAAACTACACCGTTACAAACGAGTGTGTAAGTAACTGAAATATATGAAATAAATTTTGTGCGAGTAACTAAATTGAGACATAAATCTTGTACGCGATAAGAAAGTGATGACAGGCGAACATGAAAATCGGTATTATTTTGGTTTAGTTTTTATCTACATATCGAGTTACAATAGATAAAGCCGAGTCGAGGCTCGCTCCGAGCTTGTCCTTTAAAAGCAATTCGAGAAAAGGATGTAACGAGGGTGCGACAAGGATGTGAGAAGAAACGCTAATAAGACGCGAGATACTTCGCGAGTGACAAAATCCGAGTTTTCTATTGGATTTAAGGATCGAGGATCTATGATTATTGGCTATCGATTGAGTCCGCGTGGAGTATTTAGCTCAGCAGTCCTCGCGGATTTTATTTAGATCAGGAAAAATTCGGGATGCTACCGATATACAGAACATCTGACGCGAATATTAATCGTTACGCAAAGGCCAAACACAAATTAAACGCAACATACATTTAATTTTAATATTTTTATAAATTTATTTTGTAATAAAATTAAGTATCTAAATTAATTGATTGTAAAATTAATTATTACGCGCAATCAATTTTTTTGCCTTTTAAACAGATATTTAATATTGTAAATTATAATTATCAACCATTATCTTGAATATAAACTTTTAATAAAAATTCAGTCTATTTAAAAATGTCTAATTCTTATATATAAAGTATATAATAATTACATTATTGTGAAATATTTTATAAAATATTCAACTATCTTGAAATATCAATTAACACGAAAAATATTTTATATGATTCGGAAATTTTAATATTTTAAAATAAAAACTGAAATATTTTTTATATATGCATTATATGTTAGATGATAATTAAGAATAAATTCGAAAAGGTCAAAAAGGAACAGGCAATATGTCTGAAAGTAACATGAATGATAAATAATTTATAAATGACTTACATTTTATATTTCGTTGCTTCGGAAGTGTTGCTTTTCTCCCTTTTCTTTCTTTTTCGTCCTTTGCTATTTCTTCGTAACACTCACATTCACTTCCGAAAATACGAATAATAATAATTAATTATACAATATATGGAACGATCGCGAGACACTTTGCACGACACTCCCGATCGCGGAATAATTACATGAGAAACGCACTTTTTAACATATCGTAAGAAACAGAAGATACGAGAAAAGTATATTTTCGTTCGATATTTATATAAAGTTTCAAATTCATGCACTACTCATTACAAATGCTCCGTTTTATTAATATTATATTAACACGAATTATAAAATTGAAAGATTAATCTTATTGAAAATCATGATAATCGTCCAATTAATAATAAATTCGATAATATAAAGAGTATCGTTTCCCACTACTATCTTGCTCGAGTATCACCGTGTGAATGATACCAAGACCGCGGAATATAAACATTACCTATTGTATACGCCGTTAAGGCCAAACATTGTATTATTGTCTCTCTCTCTCTGTTCGAAATATTTTACGTACTTTGACAAATATATACGCAAAATTATAAAATCAAAAAATTAATCTAATTGAAAATCATGATAATCGTTCAATTAATAATAAATTCGATAATATACGAAGAATATCGTTTCGCACCACTATCTTGCTCGAATATCGCCGTGTGAATGATACTAAGACCGCGGAATGTAAACATTAGCTATTGTATACTATTAAGGCCAAACATTGTGTTATTGTCTATTCGAAATATTTTATGTACTTTGACAAATATATACGCGAAATATTTTAAAGTATAGAAATTTAGATTTTAAATGATATAGATTATATGATGAATTATATGATTATTTATTGAAGGATCACTTTCATTATGTTAAATATATATTTATATT